CAGGTCTTTCAACACCCCTCCCGAAATGCGCGGTTCTGGAGTGGGCAAGCACTTCTCATCTTCCACAGTGAAGACAGAGGCAAAAAATGCATTCAGCTTCTCAGCCATTTCCCTGTCATCCTTCACTACTCCTTTTACCCCTTGGTCATCCAAGGGCCCCACTGCCTCCCTGGCTGGTTTCCTGCTTCTAATGTATTTGAAGAAAGTTTTATTGTTGGTCTTTATGTTTTTTGCTATATGCTCCTCATATTCCCTTTTTGCCTCCCTGATCACAGACCTGCTTTTTATTTGCCACAGCCTGTGTTCCCTTTCATCAACCTTCCTGAGATTAGCTTTCCACCTCTTAAAGGAATCCTTTTTACCTTTTACAGCTTCCATTACTTTGTTAACCATGCAGGCTTTTTTCTATACCTGTTTGTGCCTTCCTAACCCGCAGTATATATTTTTTCTGAGCTTCTATGATTGTAGTTTTAAATAGTCTCCAAGTTTCCCCAATGGTTTTGACCCTTTCTACTTTTCCTAACAGTTTCTTCCTCACATGTCCCCTCATATCAGAGAAGTTACCCCTTTTAAAGTTAAAAGTGGTTGTGTCAGTCTTTTTGTGGAACTCCCTATTTATAGAAATGTTAAACTCAATAACATTTGCATATTAATAGGGAAATGAGGTCTCCTAAAATGTTCATATGTCTATATTGTTTATTTGTAATAGTCTTCCAACTATTTATAAAATCCTGACCATGTATTGTAGTAACTTACTTCTTCTTGTTCTCTCAAAATTAAAGTCAATTTGTCCATCTCAGCCGTTTCAAAAGTTTTGTATATCAGTTCTTCTTTAGAAGGTAGCTCACTTTTCCTCTAATACTTAGCATATAAGATTCTTGCAGTAATCACTACACGTATGATAAGGTAAAAATCTTGTCTTTTACAATTTTCTGGCATTACATTCAATAGAAATAGTTCAGGAGTAAATGGTACAGTACATTCTAACATTTTTGGTAAGATTTTTTGGATCCAAGACCAATAATTTTTAACTCTATCACAAGTCCACCAAACATGGAAAAATGTACCAACAGTCGTTTGGCATTTCCAACAATCATTTGGTATATCAGGGTAACACCTTGCTAAAATATCTGGAGTCATATACCATCTATAAAACATTTTATAAATATTTTCCTTATACCAAACTGCTTTGGTAATTTTTACATTTGTTTTCCATACCCATAACCATTGATCTAAATCAATATTATAAGCTAAGTTTTGTGCCATTTAGCCATACAGTTTTTAATTATTTAATCTTGTGTTTTATTTTCCAACATTACTAAGTACAGTTTGTGATCATTTTTTCCTCAGTATATAACAGTTTCTATTATTTTTGAATAAAAACCTAATTTTTAATCTTTGGTATATCTTTATTCTATTTGTACACTTTCCCACCAATTTAAGTCAACTTTTTGTTTTTTAATAGCTTCTAATGATTTTAATTCATTTTTGACATTCAGAAGAACTAGAGGTAGAGAGGCAGCACCAAAGAGTCAAAACCCTGAAAAGGGAGATTAAGCTTCAAAGTAATGCTCAAAATATACAAATGTATTACTATGTATAATATGTCTATCAGGTTTTTGTCATTTTAATGTCATTTTTTCACTCCACTTCTGAGGAAGACCATGGTTTTTTTTGCGTCAAAACTTTTATTTTGGATATATCAACACATTCAACATTACATTACATTTTTTTTTATCACATATCCATTTCTCTTATCTCCTCCCCCCCTTTACTGGCTTCCCGCAATGCTCCTCCCCCTTTCCCATTTATATTTCTCTTTTTCTTTTCCCATTATCATCTTAAATTTCAAGGTAACAATATCTTAATCTAAACATTCCAAACCTTTATATGTTTCTGCCCTTAATAATTATCAAAACAAAGTAAATTACGTTTTACATCCTAGTTTTTTTCCAGATATTCTTTAAAGTCTTTCCATTCTTCAAAAAATTCTGAGTCTTCTTTGTTATTAAGTTTCTTCGTTAATTTGTCCATTTCAGCCATGAATAACACTTTCTGTATCCATTCCCATTTTTCGGGTATTCTATCCTGCTTCCAAGATTGGGCATAAGTCATTCTAGCAGTACTAATCATGTGTTGATTCAAATCACAATAATATGTTTCCATATTTGCAACAGTATTTTGAGGAGTCACATTTTTGTTTTTGGGTAAGGGGTGGTGCTTGAACTATTTTGATCAAACTCACAAGGGTACTTCCCAGGTCCCAGATTCCATCCTCAGATTTTCCAAGCCTGAAGCTTTTATGGTGAGTGAAAATAATTGCTGTGAGTCATAGCTGAGATGGAGGAGACAGACAACCATGGTGACTACCTTTCTAGTGGGTGTGAACTCTTCAGTTTTTCTGATGGTCTTCCTGTTCCTCAGATTTGAAATCCAGTGTTTGATATTACTTACTTTCTACTACAGAAATTTAAGTTAGATTACTTATGGTTGTTCC